CAAAAGTTCAAAAACAGTTTTTAGAAATCTGTTACCATACATTGAGTTTGCCAAGCAAGAAATATCAGTATCGCCACTCGTATGAATCAAAACATTTTAGTACTAAAAACCATTGTATTTGTATTTAGGTATTTTATTACACCTATGTATTTAATTATCTGCTAAAGATGGTTTTGTGACACTTCAAAAACATAGAGATATGATTGAATTTTAGTTATATTCCTTCTCCATGCTACAAGAATTATTTACATATAAATATGTAACTAATGGAACTCAGATTAAAATTTCGTCCTACTCTAATCAATATTAGATTATTGTTGAAGCTGGCCATAAGTTGTACTGACCTAATTCTAAGATGACCTTAACAGTGACCTCAATATTCTATACACCCATTTAAAAGTCAGTCAAAGTCTCATTATAGATGTGTCATGCTTATCTACTTCTATGCAGTCAGCTGTCTAACTACTGCCTACGTCACAATGCACTTGTAATATAACCGTCAGTGATTGTCATGCAATTTGCAATGCTCGGACAGTCGGTTAAATTGTATACATCGCAGTATGCTATGCTATGTAGACTGTAAATGGAATTACAACTGTTATGTAGAAGACTTCCTCTATTTACTTGTATTATAATCTATGGATAAGCAACCAGATGCAAGGATTAAAAAAACACAACTAAGAATCTAATTTAAGTAGGAAAATTGAGAGTGGTATTCAAAGAGTAGAGTAGAGGAATGATTTTTATGGTATAGAATAGTAAACGAACAGATAGATTGCCTGAAGTATAAGCAATGGTCATTTAGAGATTATGCATTTCAGAATTGTAAATGGAGAGATTGGGCCTCCTCTCTGGTAACCTCGCTCGTTCACACAGTGAAACAATATACCTATACAAGCGTTGTTTCACGCCGGTTTTCTGTGAGGCTGTGGTATCACTCCGATCGAAGGGCGGTGAGGATACTTATACCAAAAGTAATAATGTAGCAAAAACAAAACTTAGCCAGTCAGGCCGACTGTCAAAATCAAAGTCAAAGTCAAAATCATTTATTTCAATTAGACCAGTGAGGCACGAACATTAAAACAAAATATTTAAATATTAAACAAAAAATGTCAGTCTATCGGTCAGTCCTCTAGTGAAGCCATTTGTTCGTTCCAAGGTGTAGATTCCTATGGAGAAGAACGAGTAAGACACTCTATAGGTTACTCTTTTTCAATCAGGTTCACAATACATACAATTTTTGGTTACATTGTTTCGTTGAGGTCAATTATGTGAGAACGATGTAACACCAATATGTACTTAGTCAATGAGATGAAAAAAGAAAATAACCTTGAGGACAACTTTAATACAGTCTGGAGCTGACCAGTACCAGTTGACGGCGCCCATTCACGAACATGACATGTACACCGGCACCGCCCAACTCAACCTTATTGTAGGGAATCGAGCGATCCACTGCACGTGCCACTGCAAGTGACAGAGTGAGCTAACTCCAAGCTGACACAAATGCATTCTACTTGTCTAATTTTATTTAGTTAGTTACAAGGCTCACATTTACAATAATTATATAAAGTTTGACAGTGTACATTTGAATAAAAATGACTATATTATTATATAATTGGAACTCATTGGAACATCAATGTGGAACAAGTGAAACAAGTAAACCTAATATACAAAGACACGCTTGCATCCGCTCGACTATCATAACACACCGGATTTAGATATTCGGACACACATTCCACATTGAAGGCTGTTTGTTTTAGCCTCGTTCTACGTTTTTAATAATAAATTATTTACATGCATTTCAATTAGTAAGTAATAATACTAATCAGAGACCTTGTTTCTGTTACGAAATTAACATTATCTTAGTGATAAAAGTAATTATCTCCATCTGATAATTGGTTTAGTTTCCTCCGAACCGTGGGAGGACCATTAGGTCGCAGCTAATTGTAATTATTGGCCCAACATGTGAGGATTAGTGCGTTAGCTTAAATTGATTACTTCTTAGTCAGAATACCAAGTATTCTGACTTTACCCTGAATTTGGTCTTGGAAGTTTGTGTAACATAATTTTCAGGATGTAGCTACTTTCGTCTAACTGAACTTCGAAGGATAAATAGAGAAAAGAAAAGGATTATTTATTAAGAGTACTCTGAATTTATAACTGACCCATAACTCAAGGCCTTTGGTCAGCAGTGGCCAGTTATATGCTCTTGATGATGATGATGAAACACAGTGCGCACAAACGCATAGAAAAAAATAAAAAAAAGTGTATTATATAACATAGGTAATCCGAATTTCTGTTAACATAGCAGCATGCGTAACGGCTGGACTGATATCGATAACGAGTATATACATCAATCAAAATCAACATCATAGATTTAATAGACTACATCAAACAGACAACCGAGAAAGAATTCAAGGTATTTTTTTTTTGCCGGACTTCGAGCCCTGAGTCGAAGTTTATAACCACCTGCCCAATGAAGCAGTGGATAATATAAATTACCTACTATTAACGTCATACTAATAACTAAAATAATATTTGCCTATTTATCAATAATGCTATGTACATATTTCCGGGAACAAAACGTAGATTTATCTACGTCAAAATACTGTAATCCAAGGACAGATTAACATGAAATGATTCGCGCCCGTGTAAATAATATTTTCTATAATTTTATCAGTTTTTGTGATATAAAGGACTAGTCAACACATGTGACTTTATGTAAAAACAATCTGTAAAATGTTAAAAAAGTAATGAGTTGATAAAGCGTAACCAACAAAGAAAAGGAGACCAGTATATTTAGTTGGTACTAGCTGTGCCCGCGACTTCGTTCGCGTAGAATAGTGACTATGAGCAGCGTTTTTTTTTTATATATATACTTATTTTTATTTTAGATTTGGATCATAATCACAGTCATTTTGGGTAGCTAAAAAACCTACTTTACTGTAATGCTATTTACAATATTAGACGTATGGCCATCGGGGGTGAAAGCATACAGGCTGCTGGGATTGCTAACACGGGACAGAGCCACATACAATTGACCGTGCGAAAAACAGCTGATACTTAGATCTATACCCACAACTTTTAGAGTCTGACCTTGAGCTTTATTAATTGTCATGGCGAAACATAGGCTCACTGGAAACTGAATTCGTTTAAAATTAAACGGAAATTTTTTTGGATTGAGAGGAATCTGAGGAATAAAACCACTATCACCTTTTCCGCGCCCTGTTAAATATATATATATTTATAAGCCATTTCTGAGATTAGCGTGAACAAACAAACAGACAAACAGACAAAAAAAAAGTTAGTTACATTTTTGGGTTCGACATCGACATAACAATAGCCCCTGCTATTTTTTTTATTTTTATTTTCAATGTACAGACAGCACTTTTCTACAATTTTATTATATGTATAGATAGATAGATAGTGTTCGACGTGATTCTTTAATTTGACGTAACTTTTTTATTTATGAACCGATTGACATGAAACAAACACTAAAGCATAACTGAAGCATACCACAATATATTCGTGAAAACCGCATCCAACTCGAATAAGCCGTTTCTGAGATTAGCGTGAACAGACAAACAGACAAACAGACAAAAAAAAAGTTAGTTACATTTTTGGGTTCGACATCGACATAACAATAGCCCCTGCTATTTTTTTTATTTTTATTTTCAATGTACAGACAGCATTTTTCTACAATTTTATTATATGTATAGATAGATAATATTAATGACATGTGGTTATTTTTTAATACGATTTGATATTTTAAGTTGGTAAACAGCCGTGCTATTTACATAATTTGTTATCAATCCTAGGGACAAAGTTCAACAATACATTGATAAGGATTGACAAACTATTCAAGTACTGACTACTGTGTGTTTCTTTTGCGCAAGAGTCTATAATATAATCAGGCTTATTGTTATGGCAGACACAGGTACCAGGGTGGCATTAATTCAAGGAGCATTGTGTAACATCTAGTTATCACTTTGTAGAACAGTTCTGTAGTTCATTTAGTATTCACACATAGTTAATGCATTTAGTTATTAGGTACTTATTAATAAGCTTGTTAATCGATCCTGAATGTTGTTTGGTTGAGTGATTAGCGTTGATACATAATCATTGATCTCAATGTTGATTTTGACTTCTTCGGCAATCATCCCCATTCAATCGATTTGTTTTTTTAAATATTGAGTGAGTTCTCAGTATCTACATCAGTACCTACTAAAGCTAACTAAAATTTTTGTTTTGTAATATTTATTATCTATGGTAGATGCCTAATTTTTATTTTAATGTCTGTCTGGTAGATTATTTTAAATTATTAGACACGTATTTTTTATTTTCTTACAGAAACGAATACTTTCGACGATATATTGATTTGAAATGTCGCGTGACGTCACTTCTATGTACATTTTATACGTAGAAATGACGTTTTGTCCCCCACTCCTAAACTTTGATTCGTTTTATCTAAATACTGTTTTATTATACGACAAAATAAAAAAATACATGTCTAATATTTTTTCATTACCTAACTTACGGACTAATTATATTTTTAATTTTCATACCCTGTCATCATCCCAATTAATACTTATGCTAATTTTTCTTACTACCTTCTTTTCGACACTATATTTTACTTGGTACCTTCTTAATTTAATCTTTAAAATATTCATATACTTATCAAGAGGTAAACAATGAAAAAAAATAAACAAAGAAATACTAATGAATCGTTTAAATCTGCGTGTTGCAATGTTCGGATGTATGTAGGGTAAGTTGTACTCTAATTTAATTTTATCTCAAGTAATTGTGAGTTAATGCAGTTCTAAACTAGATTCATAAATACATAAATAATAGTCTTAGTAATTTCTTAAAACTTGTATTAATTATTTTAGAATGATTCATCATTCATCAGAATCATTCTAAAATAATAAGTACGTACTTATACACTTATTTCTCCTTTTGTTTTAGACAAATAGGAAAACCGTACAAAAAAAAATACAAACCTCTAAAAAATGAGAATACAAAAAAAGTCAACCAATAATTCACTAAAAACCACTTTACAGCATGTTCTTTTTTGTATCACTCACTACCACACACACGTCCTCTACAATCCCTTGATAAAACTACTAATATAAAAAATACGCAACGTTGTCCGAGTATAATCATATCATTGTCACTAGATTCTCGTTCAAGGATCGCGCGTTAACTGCGCGTACGCCGGCCGATACTAAACATGTTTTTGTTCCGAGCTGACGTTTCGACGCATCGACGTCACTATAGTCTAAAGGCGTTATAGTTTAATAGCTTGATTTTTTTTCTTTTATTGCAGTGTGAACAAATGTTTACTATTTTATGATTAATGATTCATTATTTATGGCTTTCGTTTCTGTGACTTTTTAATTTATAATTGTTACATTGGTATAGTTTTTATGTATATTTTGTCTTTTTGAATTTGAGTTCTTCGATTCCTTTTTGTAAGATTATTTTGGTTAAAGATGTTTATGATATTCGGTACCTAATCCAAAGTTAGTATGTATCTTATTATAGAGTTTTGTTTTAAAGACGTAATTAAACTTGAATCCAATTAACATTAACGTGTTTGTAAACCAAGTTTCTAAAGATCTTTTGAATGCGATTCGGTATTATTAAATAAAAAAAATATTTATTTGCAGATATAAGGTGCAGATTGTTTGTCATTTTATAATAATTTAGAGTCTCTTATTTTATATTTTACTGATTATTTAAAAAACATGGCCTTAACCAACGAATTACATACATACATAACATCACGCCTTTTATCCCCGAAGGGGAAGGCAGAGGTGCACATTGCGGCACTTAATGCCACTGTACAATGTAACACCCACTTTTCACTATTTATGTTATGAGTCCCATGTAATAGGGGGAGAGCCTATTGCCATACACCGGGCACAATTCCAGGCTCCATATTGAGATTTAAAAAAAAAAACAGTATAATTTTGCCCGACCCGGGAATCGAACTCGAGACCCCTTGCCTGGAGGTTGCACTTGCGACCACTCGGCCAATGAGGCAGTCTTTACTCCTTTATATTACTTTATACCTTTGAGCTTTTAAGGTAACAACTTATTGACTTATGTCTACCTCCCTAGTAATAATATGCTCTTCATACTCCTTACTACAAGCAAAATTAAAAAAAATGTGACTAATTAAAGAAATAGCAAATAAATAGACATAGGTACGAAATTAATTGCGCATATGTTAAAAAACCTGTAAACCAATTACGTCAAACCAAATCCTGTTTTTTAAAAATAAATGTATCTATAGATTATTCATTTGAACTTTTTTGCGACATTTATTATTATTTTTTAGTGCCATTGACGTCATAGACAAGGCATTTATTTAAGTTAGAAATTTTTTGAGAGGAGGTCTCCTGTCGTGGGTGAAGCGGGAGGTAGTGTCAGATTCTGATTGACTAAAAACAACCTTGTTTCTGCTCCTGCTTAGAGCTGAAGTCCTGGTAACTCGTTAAGTTGACCACAGCTCCCGATAGTATAAGTTAGTAAAATAAAGTAAAATCAACTATTAATTGATTTTTATGGTCTTTTATTTATAACTAGCCCACGACTTCGTACGTGCAATCCTGTTTTCTCCCGTTCCTGTAGGATTTTTAGGATTTTGTCTTAAGAACCTTCTCCTGACAATAAATAAACACAACAAAAAAAAAATCAGCCAAATCGGTCTAGCCATTCTCAAGTTATGGCGTGACAACGGGAAATGGGTTTCATTTATATATATATAATAAATTTCTTAGGGTAACATTATCAAATATAGCTAGCGGCAAAAAAATAAGGATAACAATGTTTTCTATAGTTACTCAATAAAGTTAACCTCAATTGACTGTCACTCATTATTTTTCTTCATAAAAGTTTTTTATTTGAACTCTTTAAACTGCCATCATTAGTTAATTATATCACCATCAGCTGGAACCCGTCCATTGTTAAAAAAGGGCTATATGAAAGGATCCTAGTATGGCGCATCGAACTGCCACTGCACTTGCATCGATTGCATCCAAAGTAGTCCAAATAACGTAACTGGTAAAAATTGGGTGCCCTATTGATACACTTCTGTCTGTCCCTTTGCAAAATAACAGGGGTGATGTAATCCATACAAGTTTAAGTCCGAATCGAGTGCATAATAACTGCTTTTATTAGCACATACACAATATTATATGAAATGTTAAATCATTAACATTTTACAATATGTCGAGAAAGTAAACGATTTTTGTGAATGTGCATTTAATTTTACACCGCATATAATATGACCGTTATTAAACTTTACAGTTGATTGAAAAAATAATGAAATTTAATGTTAATAGTGATTGAAATGTTATATACTTACTCTTTTTGAAATACATTTTGAGTAAATTGTTTTTAAAGATCACGTTTTCGACCACAAATAAGGTTTAAACTGTGAGGTTAATTGAAATAATAATTGAAATTCATTTTTATGAACTCCGTTGATACAACGGGTGTCCATGGGCGGTAGCTGTCCAGTGTCAACCTCTTACCATCTAGATATGTATCCTGCTGGTTAAGTAAGAATTCTTGATAAAACATATTCTTGGACTTTTAATTTTAAAATTGCGGTAGTGAATATGAAACCCAGACCTCGGAATCAAGGCCAAGTTCACTCTTCAATTACTATGTGACGTAAAAGTTCACTTTACTAAGACTGACCAGACCATGCCATTGTATATTTTATCGCGCGCCTCAAAGAGCCGTCATACCACCACGGATGGGGCCCAGTAGGGCTAATGCCGATTCGGAGTCGCGGAGAACCTAACGGGTTACCGGGGCTCCGGCTCGACGTGCAGGAGAAGGAACGGGGTGGTTTTTAGTCAGTAAAAGTTTGACAGTCCCTCCCGCCTCACCTAGGCGGGAGAAGCCATTCGATGATTTTCCCCCCTTAATACGTTAAACGCCATGGGGGTCACCGGTAACAGGGCGGAAGATTTACCTTCAACAGTTTTTTATTGGCAGTCAAAGTCTTAAAAAAAATTGTTTATTTTATCGATATGATAATGTATTTGTATATGTATGTACCTAAATCATTATCTTGTTAGCTTATACCGACCTCCAGCTACTTAGGTATTGCCTAGGATCAGCCAAATTGCTATTAGGGTTGTTCTCTTCTCTCGGGGAATAACATCCATAAACATGCATGTTTAAACTTCTATAAACAATTTTAAGTAAATCAGTCGCAATAGTTATTTTCCTCTGAGAACTTGATCGTGTTGTGCAATGTGTTTTATGGCATCGAACCGGCGTCCCGTCTCGAGGCCGACCGGCCATGTGAGCGCCTTGACAGTCGAGTCTTGAACGGTTTGAACCTGATCCCACGTGTAACGTAAATGTCAGTAAACTAAAGAGATATGTATAGTGGAGAGCCAGGAAGGAATTTATTTTTACTGTTTTAATTGGACCGTTCTGTACATTTCTGCTGATGATGAGGACATACAAATGATTACCGTGTCTAAAAGCGTGTTTTAGTGTGCTTAAAGACACCTTTTTTATTTAATAAACGTTGCCCCACATTAGGATTTTCTCCTGTGTCGTGGGTGCATTTACAAACATACAAGTTGGCGGCGAACATATATTTGCGGACCACACAAACAGTTGCTCCGTGCGGGAATCGAAACCGCTACACGTTGCGCGGCAGCCGGTTGCCCAGCCACCGCGCCAACCGTGCAGTCAACCTTTAAAGACACCATAAATCTTGTACTTATTATAAAAAAACTGAGTTTGTTTATTTGTATGTTTGTTTGAACGCGGCAATCTCAGAAGCTACTGGTTCGATTAGAAAAAATACATTTATGTTGCATAGTCCATTTATCGAGGAAGGCCATGGGCTATTAAATATCACGCTACGATCAATAGGCGCCGAGCAGAATGGGTGGAACCGCGCGGTAGTAGTTAGTTTGCTAAAGTAAGAAATTAAGGTAAGTGCTCCTCTACAATTTAAAGATAAACATTCATAAAATGTTGTGTTTAGTATCTTGTACCCAAAAATTATCTACATTTTCTGACACGCTTGTCATAAAAGTGAGCTTGTAAAAGACATCTGAAAATGAAAAACAATCTCTTAATCTATGTTAACTTTGCTAGATAAAAAAAAAACTCGAGACTAGATTGTTACTGCAAACTAGCAAAATACCGCAAGTTCATAGACGAAGGGAATCCCCAAGAATGTCATGGTGATAGGAAACAAACAGTTTGTGTTTAATATCAGTAAACATTTGCCCATCGTCACCTAGTCATGTTTGATTAAGTTAATTAGTTTTAACGTACGATAACTAAGTAAGTATAATTATGTAAACTAAGCTATTAAATACAATTGTTTTATTTAATAAATTAGCTGTGCCCACGACTTCGTTCGCGTGGAATTGTGATTTAATGGGCATACCCCGTAGGTGATAGCGTGATAATATGTAGCCTATATATTGACCCGATCCGTTAGTAATAATCATACAAAATTTGAAGTAAATCCATGCAGTACTTTTTAAGATCATCCCGGACATACATACAGACAAACAGACAAACAAAAATTTTGAGAAACATATTTTTGGTTTCAATATCGACTGTAGATCACGCTACAAGTATTCTTTTAAATAAATACATACATAAATAAATACAGTTTTGCCTTGTCTACGATTTTATTATATGTGTGTATATATAGGTATAGATAATTGTTATTCTCTATTTCATAACGTAAATAATACCTTTTCGATTAACTACTTCGTTAGCAGCATTAGGCAAGTGCAAGATCTGCAGTTCGATTTCAGAGTAGGGCTAAGTTTTTCATATATGGCAATTGGCAATAGGGTCTTCCACTTTACATTACTGTTAGAAAGTCCGTGTTACATGGTATGAATGTAGCTCTGTTGATTTATTCTTTTTTTTTTGGTGTAAGCCGGTAAACGAGCAGACGGATCACCTGATGGTAAGCAATCGCCGTCGCCAATAGACACCTGAAACATCAGAGGCGTTATAAGTGCGTAACCCGCTTTTTGTGAATTTGAGGATTGTGGGGGTTTCGGGGAAACCGGTAACCTCACTCACACGACGAAACAAAACGCAAACGCTGTTTCATGTCGGTTTTCTGTGAGGCCATGGTATCACTCCAGTCGAGCCGGCTCATTCGTGCTGAAGCATGTCTCTCCCACACTTAAACCCCAAACATTTCTGCCGCTTTAGAGATA